AACGAGCATCATCAATAGACAGGATGACCTGGGAGATCGTGGCAAGTTTAAAGCTAATCGGAAGTTGGCAACCAAAAAATCCTGTCTTGCGAATTTCCAGGAAATTGCCACGAAAAACTTTACAAAACAGGGTTAGAGAAAAGATGGAGAAACCCGGATGACTCCCTGGTTTCTGAAGAGGTGCTTAGGCATTTAAGTGAGACTGACGAGACTCCACACTGTACCCTTCAGAAGGGCAGACACTCACGAGATCATCAACCACGGCTCCCTCGCTGGGAGGCAGACACAGAGCTGGAGGCGGCGGCCACAGTTTAAACTAGGTGGACAAAGAAGTGTCAGCACCGGGACTTGCAGGAGGCCTGGGAAGGAGCAGGCGGCAGTGGGGCCTGGACAGCCCTGGGGAAAGGAAGTTACTCGGAGGAGACCAGGGACTTGCATTTGGGCCAGAACCAAGGACAAGAGGTCAGCTGGTCCCAGGGAACTCTGGAGCCCAGCACCCCACCATGGGTGCAGGGGCCTGACAACCCCACAGAGGGCTGTGGGCACCGGGCACCAGCCTGCGGGGGGTCTGAAGGCTGCTGCCCAGCCACACATGTCCTGGTCCTGAACAAAGGGTCCAAGAGGCAGCTGCAAACTCGCCCTCCTCAGAGCAGCCTCTTAGCCTCAGCTGGTGTTGGCCCCCGGTCACCACACATGCCCTGACAGTGGGGCCTGGCCTCAGAAAGGGGCCCCTCCATTTGTATTTTCTGTCTGATCCTTGACACAGTGCGGACACCAAAGACCAAACCCTAATCTTGATTCACATACTCTGCAAAGAAATGACTAAGACTAGTTCTTCCGGAGGTCAGTTTTAGAACATGTTTATTCTAACTCTGCCTTATCTCTGTGCACCAAGAAAAATATCTGCACGTCTATAGTAAAATGGGAAGGTCCCTTCATTTTGTTTGTATATTAAAGAAAACTTTTAAAATATACCACGTTTTAAAACTTGGTTTTGTGTGTTTTGTATGCTTATAACATTTTCCATAATAGATCATTTTAATGATGAAGTCAGCGTCTTCTGACAGAAAACAGATCAATGGATTCCTGGCAATCAGGGAGGCGTTGATGGCAAAGGGGAGAGACTCTTCTTGTTACAACTGTTCGTCTGGATTACGGTGGTGGTTGCCAGACCTTGCATTTGTTGAAACTCACGTGTAACAGGATGCATTATACTGAATGCAAACTACACTTGAATAAATATGACTTTTAAAATTTTAAAAAGTTGGGGGGTGGTTCACTGCCCCCGCTTGAGGCCCCCCCTGGCCACACTGCCTGGCCAGCCCGCCCCCACCCCTACCAGCGCTTGCCTCCAGCATCCCAACAGCCTCCTGACCCCCAGCTTTGTCAGCCCTGGGCCACTCGGCACCCTCAGGAGTGCAGCCATCCGGGAGCAGCTCGATGGAGATGTGGAGCCCGAGACTGGTGCCGCATCACGTCCTCCTGCCCCCACCAGCCACACACAGACGTCAAAGCTGCACTGTCCTCACACACGCTGCCCCCACCCACCCTGGTAGGGCCATTCCAGGCCTGGGGCAGGAGGGCAGACTCTCCCCTGCCCGAACAAGCATACCTGCACACACCCCAGCACACACACACACACACACACACACACACACAGAGAGAGGTGTGTACAGCTGAGACACAGCCCGTTCCCATGCAGTCTAGTCCCTGTCACTGAGGGAAAGGGGCAGCACTGTGGGACCACAGGAGGGGCAGCTGGACACAGAGCCAGGCCCTGGTGAAGGCCCAGGCCACTGGGGGAGACTGCCAGCATGCCTGGGCGTGAAGGCCAGAAGAGGGCAGGAGGGGCTGGGGCACTATGCCAGTTGGGCCTAGGTGGGAACACGCTGGGTGGGAGAGGAACAGCCCGGCCCCTCATACAGGAAGGGGTGGGGGCAAAAGCAATTTCTGGAGGCCAGGGCAGGGCCACCACCCCAAGGAAAAGGAGAGCAGGGTGAGTACGGACATGGGACTCGGACTGAGCAGGCCTGGTGGGCCCCAGGAGGGAGACACAGAGGACTGGGGGATCTCAAGGTTGGCAGAGGCCAGAGATGGAGCCCCAGCTGCGACTGGACCTGGGCTTATGGGAGCTGCAGGTGACCTGTTCCCCTTCCTGGGGGCCCACCCTGCCCAGAACCTGCAGCCCAGCACAGCTTGGGGCATTGGATAGAACCGGGAGAGAGCTGACCAGGCACTGAGGCCTCTGCCCCAAATGCCCATAGCCTGGGGAAAATGAGCAGGTAGATGGGGCCGGGGGGGCAAGTGGAGCCCCAGACACACCCACACAGTGCACACAGAGTCACCGGTACTGGAGAGGGCAGGAGACGCGCCACCCCTGCGTGGTTTCTCTCCCAATCTCACCCTGGGTTTCTACCACACTTGATGCAGGTGATGTTTAGCCGAGATTGTGGACTAAGAGTTGGTGCTGGAAGGGGTTAGCCATCTTGGAGGTGTTACTATGGGATGCAGGGATTTTGCGTGTGAGAAGGATGTGATCATGGGGGAGCGGAGGGCAAACTCTCACGGGTTAAAATGTGCTCCCCTATAAATTCATGTGTTGAAGTCCTAACCCCCAGGACCTCGGAATGTGACCTTGTTTGGAAACAGAGTCTTTGCAGGTGCAATCAAGTTCAGATGAGGTCACCCTGGAGTAGGGCGAGCCTCTGATCTGATATCACTGCTGTCCCCATCAAAAGGGGGAATCTGGGCACAGACAGCACGTGGGGAGAACACCCTGTGAAGATGGCGCTGCTTCCACAAGCCAGGAGCGGCAGAGACGGCCGGCAACGCCCAGCAGCCAGGAGAGAGCCTGGGACAGAGTCTCCCATGACACACAGGAGTCAGCCTCACCGAGGCCTCCATCCCAGATGCCCGGCCTCCAGAAGCAGGACGGAATAAACTTCTGTTGTTTCAGCCACGCAGTCTGGGGTGCCGTGTTACCAGGGATACAGCTAACAGATACGGGTGTTGTCCTGAGCCACCGGCCCCACAGGCTGCACAAGAACTCCCTGCCCTAGCCCAGCACAGTCTCCCCGGCCCCCTGGGTGTGCCATGGGCAGTGTGGGGCCCCTCACTCCGTCCTCCCCCAGTCTGGGAGGTTGAGCCCATAATGAGTTCCATGGGGTGAAGCCAGAGCCGGAGGATGGGAGCCAACTGGGAGCCCACGGCCGGAGGATGGATTTCCCCAGGGACCCACATGTGCACCTCCACCTGCCTCCTAGACATTCTCTCTGAGGGCACGGCTGGTGCCAGCTCGGGGATCCAGCAGGGACACAAGGGAGGGATGGATCCCTGTGCAGAGCACATTTAGTGGGAGGGACATGATTTCCCCTCGAAGTGTCCATTCTGCATTCTGCCTATTCCATTCTGGATGCTTCCTGTTTCATTCTGGATGCTTCCTCTTCCATTCTGGATACTTCCTGTTTCATGCTGGATACTTCCTCTTCCATGCTGGATGCTTCCTGTTCCATTCTGGATGCTTCCTGTTCCATGCTGGATGCTTCCTGTTCCATTCTGGATGCTTCCTGTTCCATGCTGGATGCTTCCCTCTCTATTCTGGACACTTCCTGTGTGACACCTCCTCAGGCTTTTGGTCTGCCCAGTCCCTCTGCCTTCATCCCGTCCCCTCCTACCTCCCACCTCCACATCAGTCCTTGCCCAGCTCCTCCCTCTCTCCAGAGATTCCACCTGGCAAGGTCCCTGCTGAACTCAGTCCAGGCTGCCCCAGCACAGATGGGACCCTTGCACCTGCCCTTGGCCCTCCTCACTTTGCATGATACCAGCATCCCCAGGCCCCAGGGAGACCCCATTTCTCACTCTACTGCTGGCCCAGTGGCCCTGGAGTCCCACTGCAACTCGGGTGTGCCCCTGGCCTCTCAGGAAGCTGAATGCCCTGCCCCTAGCCAGGCCATCCCCTCTGCTCAGTCCCAGGGCCCTGCCCCGACCCTGTCCCCTCACCTGCACCACAGGCTCTGGCCGACTCTGCCCAGGCCCTGAACGGGCCCCTCTGACTCCCCTCTGCTGGTACACTGCCCTGCACCACCTCAGCTTCAGTGTGTTCATCCAGCTGTCCCATGTCCCCTCGGTCCCTAGGAGCAGAGCTGGTGGCCCTGGTTCCTGGCAGTCCATCTTGTTCCTTCTAGAGTGCCAGCCTCAGGGGCCTTCCTGCCGAGGGTCCGCTCGAACCAGCCCTGGGACCCTCCCGGCCTCAAGCACACGTTTCCCCTGCAGCCCGACCCGCCCCTGCCTGTGAGCTCAGCCCTGAGCCCTGGAGCGCCTTCCCTTCTCCGTCCCAGCTCGCCCTTGCCAGCTGCTCAGCGGAATGGGCTGACACTCCCCTCCCTGCACCATGAGTGAGAGCCACCTGGATAGACGCCCAGGCAAAAGCAGCCACCAGGGCCCAGTGGGGACCAGAAGGCTCAGGTGACAGGCCCAGGTATTGAGAGGCTGAGACCATGGGCGGAATGGGCATGATCCTTGCCAGTCTCAGTCCAGCCCCAGGGAACCAGGGACAGAGAAAAGAGCAGCGCACAAGGTCCAGGCTCCCCACCTTCTCCCGTGAGTATGGGGGCACCCACCACCCCCATCCCCACACACCCAGGAGGCAGCTCGGCTGTGTCTGGACTCCCCCTCGCCCTCTGACACACAAAGCACCAGAAGAAAAGGGAACTTCAGGAAGTAAGCGGCGCCCCCGGTTTCAATCCTGTTCTTAGTCGGTGCAGGGTGCGGGTGGAGTTCCCACCTCTGGGGACCTGGGACCTGAGCTGTGATTTCCTAGGAAGACAAATAGCGGCTGACAGCAGGGGCGGGGCCGCCCACATGAACCGCGACAGAGCAGGAAGGGCTGGGACCCCCACCTCGATGAGTGGGGTCAGCACAGGGCAGGAGCACAGGCTTGGGAGGAGAAGGACAGAGCCTGGGGGCAGCTGTGGGTCTCCTGGACCTGAGCTGCTGAACAGGCTGCAAGAGGCTGGGGAGACGCTGGGGCGAGGCCGGCCCCACATGGAGGCCCAAGCGGAGCCAGCATGGGGGAGGTGGGCAGGCTTCAGGCACCGATGCCCACCCAGTGCCAGACGACGGGGCCCACGGGCAGGTGCTTCCCAGCCAACAGGGCAGGATGCACTAGAGGCTGACAGGCCTCCAGGACCACCGGGCTGGGATCACGAGGAACATGACGGGATGCGGCAGAGCCGGCCGTGGGGCGATGCTAGGATGGCCAGGACCGACTTGAGCTGAGGAGGCAGCAGAGCGAGGGAGGAGGAGAGGCCCCAGGGAGGGGTTGTCCAGGCCAGCAGCATCACCGGAGCCCAGGGCGGGGTCAGCAGTGCTGGCCGTGGGGCCCTCTTCTCAGCCAGGACCAGGACAGCAGGTGAGCCGGGAGCAGAGCAGGGAGGGTGATGTGGCAGCAGGACGGGAGGGTGGAAGTGAAGGATTCTAGAGGCAGAGGCAGGGACAGGGGATGGACAGGGGCTGGGCTCAGAGCCAGCTGACAGGGCTGGGGCACCTGCTGGCGGGGAGCAGGGCTGTGGTCAGCAGCGGAGAGGAGGGGAGAGCTGTGCTGAGTGCATGGGCGGGAGGAGGGAAGAGCCCAGGGAGGCCCAGAAAGGCCCAGAGCACAGCAGGCCTGGGACGAGGGAAGGGGCTGAGGATCTATGGGTTCCGGGAGCTGACCCAGCAGAGCAGAGGCCACTGAGGAGCTGAGGTTCAGGAGAGGCTTCCAGAGCAGGAGCAGTGCCGGGACGGGAGGATCCAGGAGCTCATCCAGGAGGGGGCCATGGGCAAGAGCAAAGGGCTCTGCTGGGGAGACCTGACTGGTCACAGGGTGCTCCACAGCATAGGGAACAAGCCAAGTGCCACAAAAACAAAAATGAGGCCAGAAAAAAAAGAGCCCAAACCTGGACAGACGGTGCCAGGACAGGCAGGGGGCAACAGTGGCCTGAGTGACGTTGCTGCCCCGGGTTGAGGGAGGGTAGAATGAGCAGGGGGCAGGCATCGGAGCTCAGGGGACCAGGACCGAGCAGCCGCAGGTGAGCAGGGTCTGGTGGGGGGCAGGATGAGCAGGGAGCAGCTCCTGGAACTCTTAGAGCCAGGGCAGAGCAGTTGCAGGTGAGAAAGGCTCGGTGGGAGGTGAGCAAGCAGGGGCAGCTCCGGGAGCTCTGGGAACCAGGGCAGAGCAGCGCCAGGTGAGCAGGGGCGGGTGGGAGGCCGGACGCGCAGGGTGTAGCCCCTGGAGCTCAAGGAACCAGGGCAGAACAGCCTCAGGTGAGCAAGGCAGGTGGGAGACAGGAGTAGCAGGTGGCAGCTGCTGGAGCTCAGGGGACCAAGGCTGAGCAGCCGCAGGTGAGGAGGGGCTGGTGGGAGGCAGGACGAGCAGGGCACAGCCCCTTGAGCTCAGAGAACCAGGGCAGAGCAGTCGCAGAATGAGCAGGGCTCAGGGGGAGGTGGGCAAGCAGAGAGCAGCTCCTGGAGCTCAGGGGATCAGGGCAGAGCATCAGAAGGTGAGCATGGCTGGTGTGAGGTAGGTGAGCAAGAGGCAGTCCCTGGAGCTCAGGGGATCAGGTAGAGCAGCTGCAGGTCAGCAGGGGCTGGTGGGAGGCAGAATGAGCAGGAGGCAGTCCCGGGAGCTCAGGGCACAAGGCAAGAGCATCGGAAGATGAGCAGAACTGAGGCTCAGCCTCAGGGAGCCAGGACAGAGCAGCTGCAGGTGAGCAGGGCCAGTGGGAAGCAGGGGCAGCAGGTGGGCAGACCCTGAAGCTCAGAGAGACAAGGCAGATCACCCGCACGTGAGCAGGGGCTGGTGGGAAGCAGGAGGAGCAAGGGGCAGGCACTGGAGCTCAGAGGACCAGGGCAGAGGAGCCGCAGGTGAACAGAGGCAGGTGGGGGCAGGAGGAGGAGGCAGCAGCTCCTGGAGCTCTGGGGACCAGGGCAGACCCGCTGCAGGTGAGCAGGGTGGTGGGAGGCAGGACAAGCAGGGGACAGGCAGCAGAGCTCAGGACACAGCAGCCACAGGTGAGCAGGCCAGTGGGAGGCAGCACTCAGCTTCTACACATTGGCAGGAGCTGGGCAGTTGCTGGCAGCCGACAGCTGAGGGCTGGTGAAAGCACAGTGCAGCCTCCTGGTGCAGGGAAGCGGGTGTGAGCCCATCC